AAAAAATAAATTAAAAAATAAAATTCAAATATTTGTATGAATTTAAATATTTATAAATTTAATAAAAAAAACAAATTAATTTATAAAATTTATTTTTTATGTTATTAATTAAATGAAGTCGTTATAGTCTATAACGACACTATTTAATTATTTTCTATAAAAAAAACTAATGTATTTAAAATTTTAACATATAATATTTCATAAAAAAATTAAATTCATTTATATTTTTTAAGACTAACATAAATTATTAATTCAATATATAAAATGTAACATCGCTATGGAGGATAGAGATTCATTTCTTTTTTAAAATTTAATTTATATAATTTATAAGTATATTAAAATATTTAAAATATTAATTTATGTTTAAAAAATTGAAGATAATATAATTTCTTAAAAAATAAAATCAAAGGTAATATAATTTTTTTTTAGTTTTTTTTGGCTTTTTTCACATTTTTTTCTTTTTTTCTTTTTTAATTTTTTTATCTGGAGTGAAACACTATTCAAAGTCGCTATGATCATAGCGATCTTTGTTTTTTTATTTTATTTTATTTTCATAATTTTCTTTTATTTTTTCATTTATTTTCCTTTTGTTACTCACTTATTTTTTTTCATTTTTTTAAACATTTTTTCCAGATTTTTTTAAAAGTTTTTCTTTATAAAAAATAGATTTGTTTTAATGTTAATTATTTTTATTTAAATTTATTTTGAAAATTCTACTAATTTATTTTTGGTTGACTGAACTATTTTGGATTATTTTTAAAAAATCTTATTTTTTTTGTAAATTATTAAATATTTTAAATTTTCAACTCTTAAAATAAATATATTTTAAAAAATATATTTTTTATTTTTATAAAAAAATTATTTTTAAAAAATTGAGCCATTTGAGATGTTGAAATAAATATATTTCTATTATTTTTTTTTTTCATTTTTATTTGACGAGGTGCTATTCAATGTCGCTATGACCCATAATGTCCTCTATTTTTTTATTTTATTTTATTTTCAAAATTTTTGTTTTAGTTTTTCTTCTGTGACTCACTTATTTTTTCAATTTTTTAAACATTTTTGAGTTTTTTTTTCCAGATTTTTTAAAACTTTTCTTTATAAAAATTGGATTTGTTTTAATGTTAATTTTTTTTATTTAAATTTATTTTAAAAAATACTACTAATTTATTTTTGGTTCAAGGAACTATTTTGGATTATTTTTAAAAAATATTATTTTTTTTTGTATATTATTAAAATATTTTAAATGATCAACTCTTAAAATAAATATATTTTAAAATATAGATTTTTTTTTTATAAAAAAATTATTTTTAAAAAAATTGAGCTATTTGAAATGTTGACACAGTCGATAACGACACTACTAAAGTTACTACAGCCGTAGCGACTTTTGCATGGCTAAATTCAAGTCACTAAAAAAAAAAGAAAATACATGTGACATTGGTATTGTTATTGCCTATAACAACACTGTAGTAAACAGCTCCAAAGATGCAAATAATTTCAAAACAGCCCCAAAAATATAGATAATTTCAAAACAGTCTCATTTACGTAATTAATTTTTAAAAAAAACCTACAATGATCAATCAGCCAGGATGATACAATAACTTCAACAAGCCAAAATAAGGTATAATTACAGCATTTGCCTTCCATCACAGTCCATCAAGCAATTATGTTCGTTGCCTTCCATCACAGTCCAATTAGTCAAGCAAAGGAGTGGAAAATAAGTTAACCCCACCGACCAAAAAAATCATAAAAAAGGTTTAGCCCATAATTTTGAGAGGCAACTCAAAAAGAAAATGTAGTTACAAATAGGTGAGTTTCCCTAGCTGAGGTGAAGAACCATTACTTCTCTGCCTTGCTGTAGCCCCATGAAATAAAGCTGTCCTGTGAACCAAATTCCTATAAAAACAAGAGAAAATACATTAAAATGGATTCATCATCGGACAAAATCTAGGAACAGTTCCTTAGGTGTGGTTAGTGTTATTCTCTAATCAGACTTGGAATTTTACTTTGATAGTATATATAAATGTATATTAATGAGATTTGTATTTAAATGCAAGTACATAATACTAAAGTAAAACTCCAACTTTGATGGGAGAACAACACTAGCTGCACCTAAAGAATTGTATTTAAATTTTGTCCTTCATTGTCACAATTGATGAGAACGTGGAATTACCAGCTGACTAAGTCGAAACTCTGAAGGTGTATCATGCTCTATATTTGCATGATCAAGGGCAAGATTTTGACACTCTTCAATGTCCTTCTTCAGATGTTCTGGTCCAAGCTGAGCATAAACAGAAAGACCAGGTTGGTTCTTATGTTCGTCATGTTTCCCATCTCTGCTGGGAGACTGACTATGGAGTAAATCATCACACAGCGATAGTGCCTCGACCAGTTGTTGTGAATCCAACAGATTCTGTGACTCACTGTCCCACCATTTTTGGCCTTCTTCAGCATTGTTTTCTTTATCATCCATCCCTTCATTATGTTGATTTTCAAACATGGATGATTCGGTTGCATGGTCTGGGCAATCAGCATTAATTTCATCTAAATAATTCATCTGGGGAGGCTTTGGTATAAGACAAAGCAGAACACAAACAGAACAGGAATGATCAACTTCAGTAAGGGGTATTTTCAAATTTTGCTAAACTATATCATCACATGTAGAACCTAGCAAAAATAATACCATAACAGCGTACGACAGACAAGTATTAGAAGTTTAGGTGAATGGCTAAGTTAACGAAGAATGTGTACAATTATTTCAGCAGTGGAACTGGAACCACCTCAAATAAATATATACTAAAATATCAGAACTTATGGCATCTTTTAGTCACATTAGCCTACATAAAATTACATGTCCCACAGATAAAATACTACAGAAAATTATTTAAGTTCAATAATAGGGATATGATCCCCCACTAATATCACTTTTGATATCCAATTCATTAAATGACATGTCACACATTCAGATTAAATACTTAAAATGTTTAGTGATGAAGCCAAAGAAGGGAAGAACCGAAGAACATTTGACTACAAAATCGGTGTTTGATATTCAGGGCTTCCTACATGAAACTTCAATTCAATAAGATGTAAACCTACATTAGTCATTACAATTCAGAATAAATGGTAATTCCTTTTTCACTATACTTTCATATGGATGTGAAAAAAGAGGATTCAGATTTCATAGATGTTAATAAAAATTTCTACCGACTACAAATATGCTACCTACATTTTAGAACAATATACTACCTCCGATGCTTGCTATAGGACCCAAATAACTAGTTCACCAAGATTAAGAAAGGTAGTTTTGTGAGTTAAGATCATTAAAAATGTCTTGAATTTCTATTTATTTCCAAAACTAACCCTAAACTAATGAGACACTTGATATATGTTTCCCAAAAATTTGTATTCCAAGAACAAAAGATGAGGCTATTTGTATTATAAGAGACATGACTTGTAAAAAAGAACAAACCAATTTGAAAATTTAGGTTCTATAATAAGGATTGGAGCTAGTATTCATTATCTTATACATCCTATTTCAATAACAAAAGCAAAACAAAAAATAGTGTTCATATTATTATGGCAAAGTATTAATAAGCAACAGATTATGATATCTGATAACAAGAAAATATGGTTGACGGTTTTACCTGAGGAATGTTAAGTGTTTCTTGTCCTAGGTCTAGATCTGCACGCAACCTTTCATTACAAGGAGGATCAGGAGTCACAGATTTGGGAGTGACTGGACTTACTTTCACAATTGTTGATTCAGTGGTTTCAATGGCTTCAGGAACATCTTGGTCATCTTTATCACCCAATTTGACTTGCTGCTGCTGGTAAAACACTTTTGAGATAATGTACTCCCCATCCTTTTCATCCTCTTCTGTTCCTAGGTGATATTGATGCATAACCCAATTAGTTTTCTCAGCTCTACCTCCTTTTACATTGCTCAGATACAGAACCATAATCTTTTTACAGCCTTTTTGAACCCCATTCAAGACAACTGGTTTAGTTCTTCCTGTCTTGTGCCAGCGGACATCACCAAAATCATGGCCAAGTATCTTTCGGCGCTTTCGGGTGCCAGTGTTGTAAGCCTTGATTGCTCTATGGAAGAAGTGGGAAGCACTTCCATCTTGCTTAATACCTAAAATTTTCATCATAGCTCATCATATTGATTGAAAAGTAAACAAGAATTCAAATTGGAAAAAACTCATGCTACCAACCAGGCAAATTTTGAGGATGAGCATAGCAAATTCCATCATCCTCGTCAAGAGTAGTAATAAATTCATCAATAAAGGGATGAGGTTTTGAATCTCCCACCCCAACTTTTGCAAGCAAGTGCCAGATTATCTCTGGATCAGATGGATCAAATTTGACACCTTTTGGTAAGCCAGGCCAGTCTTGTGCTACCTATCATCAGAAAAATTTTCAAATGTCAAAACATTTATACCTATTTATGTGTACTTCAGGATTTAAAGGATGAAGTTTAAAATCATACCTTCAATTTGTTTTTATTTTATAATTTTTAACTCAATACTAATCAACTTTTAGCACATATTTGTAGGAATACAAATACAATACTCTAGGACATTTTCTCAACCAATGCAACCATGGATCATTTTATCAGATTCAATTATATGCAACTAAGTTCTGATACTCGCGTTTCCCCATTACTTTTGCATAAAAGGCTTGATGATGTCCAAGACATATCACATCCATAGTCATTAAAATCTTTGAATTTGCAATTTGAATCACACAATCCAATACAATTCGACCAGCCATCAATTTGAATCATGTGATGTTTCAAAGATGACTTTGAATCTTATGAAACATGGATGAATTAGTGCGATTTTGTATCACCAATACAAGTCATAAGATTCAACAAATCATATTTTATATTTTACTTTTCTTTTACCATTTTTCTTACCAAAGTTGAAAACTTTGATAATTAAATTGTTAAATAAAAAGGAACTGAATAAGCATCACTAAATGCACACTATTTAATAATTCAAATGCTCAAATTTCAATATTATATGCCATATTTGGCTAATCCATTGCTCTATTTCAGTCTTCTGATATAGTAACTTAATACACTCAATCATAACTTATGATTTTGTCACATGAAAGTTATGATCATTATGACATTTTCTAGTTTAAAACCAGTACATTGTGCACAACACATAATCAGGAAAATAAACAGTTACATCTTAAAAAAGAAACTGCACATACATCACTGTTGTCAATAGTATGTTGACAATTTGGGCAAGCCTTAGTAGGATTGCTTTTCCATATAACCTTTCCAGGATTACATGCTCCTGATGCACATTTTATTTTGGTTGCAATTCTGCTTTTGTCCACCAACCATGACGTTCTGCATAAACAAGAGCATTATCAAGACTCAAACATTACGCAGAGAACTGGCATTTACTTTTAAACTTAGCTAAAAGAAACCAACCCTAACTGATGATCTCTTACTTCCAACTCCCAAATTGGTGAAGTTAAAACAGATAATAAGGTTGATCTTAAACCCACCAGTTCGTTATTGAACGTGCACTCCCCATTCAATGCAACATCAAAAGGGTAAAAGACTACTAATAAAAAAAATGCAAAACTTTTACTTGCTTTTATGCTCTATCTTCTTCACATAACCCCACGTAAGACTTTCCCGTTTCTTTCATTTATAAAACAATGAACATTGCAGAGACAACCCCCCCCCCCCGATG